AAATATCGATAATGTCGGCCCATGTCCGTAGTCGGTTAATTTTTTTTCTGTCGGTAGTCGGTAATTTTTTTCTCGTTTTGTCGGTAGTCGGTAGTATTTTTCGCCCTTTGTCGCTAGTCGGTTAATCCCATTCACAACCTCATATTTGTTTAGTTGTCGTTACAAGCTTAAACTAGAACCCAGACCTCACGGTATGAAAGTCCCCATTATAGTATATTTTTATCTTATTAAATATAGAGTTATTATTAAAAGTTATCAAATGTAACTTTCGTAAAGCCTCCAGCAAACTTCTTAACTTTTTGCCGAAAACCTATAAATTGTTGAGTCTGCGCTCGGGTTGCCTTCGAATACTTTCCAGGCAAACGAGGAACACGACGTTCCTTTTAGCCGGAATTCCATTCCATGGATTTCGCGAAGTAAATAGATGTTTTTATAATTTTTTAGGATCCTTGTTAAGAGATTTTTCTCAAGAACAACGAACGAGATATCTATAAATAAAGAAAATGCCCTTTTTTTCCTTTTATAACTAGCGTTACTTTGTAACGCTAAGGTAAACATTACGCGCTCCGATGATCCACGCATCCAAGCTATTTTTGAAGCCGGTTACGTATTGCGGACGTATATTATTCAGACAGATCTCGTGACTTGAGGATCCAAAATGGCAGAATGTTGCAAGGTGGCTTTCAAGGTCTTCGCCATTTTTTTCGTGCTTTGCTCATTCCAGAAGCTATCATTGGCATCCTACAGACTGACACGTACAGCTTACGATGAGATTTTTAAAAAGTTAGGTGTCTCTCTTGAGTCACTTCCAAATATCTCTTTCACTTTGAACGTTTCCGAGGAATGCAAGGAAACTCTGACGAATCTGCCCTCAAAGCCTGACTTTACACAATGTGAGTATGGATAGCGTGTTAAGTTTATAAAAAAGCACAACCATTGTGTCATCTTGTTTGTGCACGGTGAACTGAAAAGTTAAATTAAGCTTTCACGAGTCGCTAAGTCAAAAATACCGCTTCCTGTCGCCGATGTCACGAAAACGTGAACAAAGGCCATATCAAACTTAGGATCTAAGATGCATCCTAACTTTCTTCACTCAAGAAGCTCTTTTCTCTAAAATGATTTTTTTTTTCGTGAAGACTTGTGTGGCGTTAAGATAGATGTAAGCACTCGGAGTTTGAAGCAGAATCATGAATTAAGAATCAAAGCGATTAGATTAGAAGGAATCGTGAATTTTCGTGTTTAAAACTTGGTACTCGTGAATTAATAGATATGTTAAAATGTAACATGAAATTTGGAAAAAAGTTGCTGACAAATCATGAAGCATTGCGCCAAAAAAAGACATGACTCATAAGTCTCGAGGTCAAACGAATACATGTTTACCCGGCATTTATAATCCTTTAGTGTTGATCGGCGATCGCCAAGCGATTGTTTCATTTCGTACGTCATTCTTGAGGCGACCAATTAAGAATTTAGTGCCCTCCATTTCAGGGCTACTTAATGTAATCAGAAGCAGACGAAGGTATCACTAAAGAAATGGAAGGCAGGAAATTTGTCTCGGAATCTTCTTCTGTCATTTCATTCTCATTTTTGTTCCGGCGAAATACGCAACCAGTTGTTGCGTGACAATTATTCAATTTTACTTCAATGAAGACAATGTTGATCCGCTCATTAATTTATCGCGGTCTTGATTTTACGCCGATGCCTTTAAAATGCGTCAAACATTGTTTAATTTGTTAAATCATGATTGCATTTTGGTGTTAAAAAAACAAATGTTTTCAATGGCTACTCAGTAAGAAAGACATTGCTTGCGGGGACACATAAGAGGGGGTCACGCATTGTTGCTTTTGTGAGATGGTCTGTCAATATGGCAAGTGCTGGAAACCAATCCATCATATCAAAGCGTCCTATGATGGAGTGGACCTTGGCAGACGAATATTATCACTTCGAAGGCTTTTCTTAGTTGTTTTTGTTGTATTACGTGACCAGAGAAACTGTGTAAAGGACACTGAACTCGAAACGTCACTTAAGGTCATCACGTCGAAAAGGATTACACAGATTGTAGTCGCAAATTTCGTTAAATCGACAAAACAAAACCAGACTAATCGATTCAAAACACGAAGCGAAGAAAAGCAAAGCCATCGAAGCGGTGAAAAAAAAACCACTACGACTGAAATAGTCTTCAACCAACGTAGAAATAAACCTGAACTGACGAAAAATAATCAACCGAGACACAACACACAAATGCAAAATAAAACCAAACATATTGAACGAAGAAAGAACACAATATGAGACTAATTACAAGAACTACAAGAACGCCAAGACTAAAGCTTAGCAAAAACAAAAAACACGAACAAAGACAATGATGTAATCCTGGCGCCTAATCAGAGAATGATACCAGTAAACAGAAGTGTAAATTGATTTTTTATTTCTTTAGACCTAGATGCCCTTGGTAAACCTCAAAGTGGATTTCTATTGGGAAATTTTGGTTGGTTAGGATCCTATAGTGAATGCACAAAGACCATCAGTGATGCACACTATTGCCTAGCTTACATCTCATTAAATAAGGTGAAGTGTTTACAGATTGTTGATCCAAGATACTTAAGAGATGCAACTTCTGTTTGTTGTTTTTGTTGTTGTGACTGCTGAATTACACTTTCTCCCTATGAACTGAAATAGCTAAATGGACGTACATCATCAAAACTCGGAAAGAAGAAAGAGTTGCAACCAACCAACCTCATCAGCGTTTTATTAGAATTCTTCTATGGTACTAATTTTTCTGATTGTTTTTTTTCCCTTTTTCACGAAGACTGTGCCCATACATTGGGGTGTCTGTGCGCCAAAACAATGCAGTGAAGAGGATGTAACGAAAGCTCTACAAGAAATCTTTACAGGTAAACACATGTTCAGTGTCGTTTCCTTCGATGAAGGTCCGCGTATAGATTTTGACTGAGTTATGTTTAAAACATGAAGTAGAGAGATAGCAAAATACCAACTACATCCACAGCTGTAATGCTGATGTGTGATCAGTGTCTAGGTTTTACCCGGGCCAAGTGGCCACCTAAGTGAACTTATCTCGGTTTACTTAGCATGAAGTAACTTGTGACTTGAGGTAGCACTACTCTCCCCTGGATGGGATGTTAGTCCGTCGCGCGGTTACCCTCCAGCATTTTAGCAGGCTTCCCTTACGATTCGCCGGTATCCTTTTTATACTCTTCGGGGGGAGGGGCACTGTGAGAATAACGGGTCTTGCCTAAGAACACAACACATTGACCTGACCAGGTCCTGAACCGGAGTCCAGCGCACTAACCATTAGCCTTCTACATCTCTCACTTGATCAGTGTTTACATACTCTTCTTTACCCAGCAAGCGATAGCCAACTACAACTAAACAATGGTGAGGATTTGTACGATCTTAAGTGAAACCAGGTTCGACACGAGCTCGTTCTTAATTGTATGAACTGCCAAGAAGTGAAAAAGAATATAGAATATTTGTTTTTCAATTAGTCCTAGGAATTTGTTTTAATTTTTCCAAAATATTATTACTTCTTTGTTATTATTTAAATCATCATCAGCTGTCCATATAACAGTGTATCGAAGTTGCACAGAGAACCTAAGTAAGTGTATTGATGCTGCTTGGAATGAAAAGATTAAGGCCTAAAGGGTAAATGACGTAGAAAACAAGATTAATTGAAGAAACACATACACTCTAACGACAAAATACTCCCCTTTTCAGGTGGCAATGAGTCGATCGTGAGCTTGGACCCTCAGCCAGTCAGTTTCATCGGAGATAAATCCCATAAGAAACCTGTTTTCTGTAATAAACCTTCGGAATACACAACGGGAGTAAAGTTAACGCTGTGAGTACATATGCTGATTATGATACAAAGATATTCAGTGTAACACTATTAATGACTGCCGCTTTAAAGTGTGCCTTGTTCCCAAAGAGTCACATCTTTTCAGTTAAGATAATTTATAGCGTAATACTTGAGCCCTCCTCTGACGACTATAGCACTGCTATCAAATTTGTGCAATACTCCTGCAAATCTACCGAATGCAACATAATTCCTTTTGCTAATTATGCTTACTGCCAACTAGTAATTTGATGTTGGGCCAGCGCGCGCGATACGTTAAAAACTATACTCACAAGGCCATAGAAAAATTTCCCAATAGTCTGAGCTTTTGTTCTACATTTAAATTTCTCAAAATCATCGCAGAGTTATACCCCAATTTTGAGTCCTTCCAAATGTATTAAATTTACAAATCCATGAGAGGTTTGATAACTTTCTTAGACTGCTGTAATATTGTCGAACCTTTTTTTTTTTTACACAAGACGAATTACTATTGATTTTCAATGATACAAGAAACTCTAACTCATACCTGACTCTGAATTTGCACGATGTCCTGTAGGTAAGTATTTTTTTTATTCTCTTCATCCTCACAGGATTTTAATTGGCTTAGTCTTGCTTCTCTGTCTGGTTGGAACCAGCTTGGACATAGCTATTGGCTTTATGAAACCACACTCCACACCTGTCAACAAAAGTGATGGCTTCATGCCGGTCAGAGGGGCCTCCATGGCAACAGACCATGATACCTTCAGTGACAGCTCAAATCTAATCCACTCTTCCACAGTTTCCTCGAGTTCAAGGCCAATTTTGTCGAGCCTTCCTCAAGAACCCGCTAAGCCAAGTAGGTATTATGTAAATCAGTGTGCTGTAGTCGTTGAACTTTTATTGCGCTTATTCAACTGTGGATGTAGTGTATCAATTCATCCTCTGAGAGTTCTAAATGCTACAGATATTTTTTTGAGAATTGTCTGATCTGCGGGTTGGGTTGCTTCCCATCTTGTTCAAAGTCGCCCACTCCCCCCCTCACCTTTTCGTCTCGTTGCCTAAAGAACCTTGGGATCATCGGAATTCTCTTTCCTCACCTCATGGAACCATTATGTTTGAGAGGCCAATGAAATCGCGTATAACTACTTGTTTTCACACAAAGATCTTTTCCATTGAGAGCTGCGTTGTCTGATGCTAAATAGAAGGTTTCATAAGGCTACGAAGACCACACTTACACGACAGTTCTGGACGTTTACAAAGGATTTGTAAGGCTTGAAAAAAAATAATCCGCCAACGAACCAGAATGGAAATCAAATATCGAAAGGATCCTCAAAGGTGAACCTCACTGATTGAACACGCCGTTGTGTCCAAACACTGAATAATGTTTCCGCGGAAGGAGAAGGAAAATTGTAGACATAAATTTTAGGAAATTCAGATGTTTTTCTTATCAGCGATTTGAAAATTTTCAGATTGACCGAGAAGAGTGTGGTCGCCTTCCGTTTGAATTTCTGTAGTGGGTTTGCAAAATGTGTTCACAGAGTGTATTTCCCCGACGAATTTACTGCGACAGTAGACCGTCTGAGAATCATACTAATGTTTATGCAGCACTAAGATATTTACAGTGCGTGTCGCTGAAATACTCAAGTCGAACCCCTTCAAACTGCAGCCTTTAAAATAGGACAAGTGGCACTCTCTATTACTTAACAAGATTTCTTTGATTTTTTTCCGTAGATTTTGTGTCGCGATTCTTGTTATGTTTTTCATGGATCCAAAATACAAATCGTATCATGGATACCAATGTCCCTCCCAGTGCCATCACATCAATTAATGGTATGAGAGTGCTAAGCATGTGGTGGGTCATCTTAGGACATCTCTTCTCCGTACAAATGATAACATCTATTAGTAAGTATTTGATTTTGCTTATATTTTGTCTTCTGTAAAGATACTAATTACACTGATAGTTTCTACATTGCTTTACTTTTCATTTAGCTACTAACGCTATCGGCACTATAATATTAAAGCTATTTGCACTTTAGTATCAACCCCACTTACAATTCTACTGCTACTACCACCGCTACTATTTAATTTTAACTCTGACTACACTGATACTGTTTGAACGCTAAGTTAGGTTGCACTAAGTTACTACTAAATGCTACTGACACTACCATATTGGAGCCACAAACATTACAATACTAGCAACACACAATATCATCACTTCTCGCACAACTTACATTACAAGTGTTGATTGCACTAAAATATCTCTGAAACGAATTTAAAAGTTGTTTTTCTCAATCATTATTTTGATCAGTTTTTTCTCTCATATTAATTCTTCACCTGTTGTTCCTTTTTCTTTTTCATATCACTTGGTTTATGACGAATGTGGACAACTTGTCTCATCGAGATATTTACGAGCGTCTTGCAACTAACCATATCAATTTTCTTATTCTGATTTGCTGTAGGTAATTTGAAGTTATTTACGAACATTATTCATCGGTTCACATTCCAAGCGGTTGGCAATGCAACCTTTTCAGTGGATACTTTCTTTTTCCTCAGGTACGTTCTGCATCTTTTAGTCCTGAAACCATTTTCGAGGTCATCTTAAACCCTGAATAAAATCCAATGTAAACGCATTTTTGTAAGTTTGTCTCCATATTATGTGTAATT